TATTCTCAAGCCTTTGCAGTAGTCTTAGGTAAAGAGACTGGGATGCAGTTGGATTGTGTGTGTGCACAGACTGTTGGAATGCATTGAATTTCAAGTGCACTTGTTTTGTTGCATTTTATCTCGTTGTTGTGGAAGGCTGGCTCTGAAGCCGAGGGATAAACATGGCAGAAATGTTCATTTAACTGTCGTACTTCACCTGCTTTTCAAAGGCCTCTGTAAGGCAGAGCGCCAAAGGGCTTAAATCTAGGACGTGACAGAGATAAGTATGCTGCAGGTGTGACAGCCAGTCTTCACATCTATTATTGGAAGAGCCACATTCTTCTTCAATACAGTCTGTATGGCACTGCCATCACAGGAGACCATTCAGGAACGGAGAGATGTTTTTCTCTAGGCCGGCAGTGGTGCAGGCAGCTGTCTGTTTTGAAGAACCTCACCACCATCATTGTTGGCATGGCAACCAACACTCACTTGCTTCATTACGAACACAGTGCTTCCTGATGCTATGACTCACTGACTCACCTTGAGATCGCTGTACATATTGACTAGGCTAACGATGAAGTGCAAAGAAATGTGGGTGTACGCGTAATCATGATATTTGCTCTTTTAGGTACAGTAGCTTCTTCGTATATATTTGGACAGTGAAACATATATATATATTTTTTGCCTCTATACTCCAGATTTTGGATTTCAGATCAAATATTTCATATGAGGCGACAGTACAGAATGTCACCTTTTATTTGAGGGAATTTCATACATATCTGTTTTACCATTTAGAAATGAAAGCACTTTATGTAGCCATTTGAATATGTTTTTTTTTTTTTTTTTTTTGGGGGGGGGGGGGGGGACAAATTAACTTATAGTGTATTAAAGTAGTCAAATGTGTAGTATTTGGTCCCATTTCCCTAGCACACAATGACTGCATCAAGCTTGTGACTACAAGTTTGTTTTGGTTGTGTTTTGGATTATGTTTAGCTCAATAGGAACTGAATGGTGAATAATGTAGCGTCATTTTGGAATCACTTTTATTGTAAATAAGAATAGAGGATTTTTCTGACACTTCTACATTAATGTGGATGCTACCAGGATTATGGATAATCATGAATGAATCTTGAATAATGAACAGTGAGAATGTTACAGAGGAACAAAGATAGTACCACCCCGCAAAAAAAAATTGGTAGCTCAGTTGGCAGAGCATAGAGCTTGTAACGCCAGGGTAGTTAGTGGGTTCGAGTCCCATGACCAGCCATACGTAAATTGTATGCACGCTTGACTAAGTTGCTGTGTATAAAAGCATCTGCTAAATGGCATATATTATTATTTACTATTAGATCAGACTAACCTAGTAATCTGCTTGTGTTACAGCTTTGATGAACGGGTTGAGACCAAATAGAGACTACACTGACAGTCAGTCATGTGTGTCAATAAATGAGGTTCAACACTTGGATCACGAGCCCCGTGGCTCATGATGACTACATTACACAGCACTTATCTGATAAGTAGGTATGTGGGTGATGTCACCACCTGGGTAGGTGTCCAGACCACCCACAGAGATGGAGGGTGAGATAGTTCTGGAACACCAGTGGCCCAGTTCAGATACTTCTAGAATGCATTTGGAGAGATTTTAAACTGGGACCAGTGGTGGTCAGTGCCATTTAAGATGAGGGAGGAATAATTTTTTTTTTCATGATCATGGCCTTATTTCTATTACAGCATATTGGATGACTGTCATTCATATTCCATTCACCCTGTTCAATGTAACAGCGATAGGTTTAGGCTACTACATGATACTCAAATTTTCCCTATACCCATCATGAGGTTGCTACAACCTAGCCTATTAATTAAAGTTTACAACGTAGGTGCACACAGGTCAAGAGAACATTTTTAGGTGACAGACAGTGACACATGGACAGACAGTGACACATTAGTCCAACAGTTGCAAACAAGAGTTTCTATTTGTTCCATTTGATTCCGTAAAAAATAAAAAGAATCGGCAGAATGAATACACCCCTGATCACTCGTTAACACAGTTTCTTCTCGCATCTACAGTCAGGGAAAAAAGTATTTGATCCCCTGCTGATTTTGTACGTTTGCCCACTGACAAAGAAATCATAAGTCTATAATTTTTATGGTAGGTTTATTTGAACAGTGAGAGACAGAATAACAACCAAAAAATCCAGAAAAACGCATGTCAAAAATGTTAGAAATTGATTTGCATTTTAATGAGGGAAATAAGTATTTGACCCCCTCTCAATCAGAAAGATTTCTGGCTCCCAGGTGTCTTTTATACAGGTAACGAGCTGAGATTAGGAGCACACTCTTAAAGGGAGTGCTCCTAATCTCAGCTTGTTACCTGTATAAAAGACACCTGTCCACAGAAGCAATCAATCAATCAGATTCCAAACTCTCCACCATGGCCAAGACCAAACAGCTCTCCAAGGATGTCAGGGACAAGATTGTAGACCTACACAAGGCTGGAATGGGCTACAAGACCATCGCCAAGCAGCTTGGTGAGAAGGTGACAATAGTTGGTGCGATTATTCGCAAATGGAAGAAACAAAAATGAACTGTCAATCTCCCTCGGCCTGGGGCTCCATGCAAGATCTCACCTTGTGGAGTTGCAATGATCATGAGAACGGTGCGGAATCAGCCCAGAACTACACGGGAGGATCTTGTCAATTATCTCAAGGCAGCTGGGACCATAGTCACCAAGAAAACAATTGGTAACACACTACGCCGTGAAGGACTGAATCCTGCAGCGCCCGCAAGGTCCCCCTGCTCAAGAAAGCACATATACATGCCCGTCTGAAGTTTGCCAATGAACATTTGAATGATTCAGAGGAGAACTGGGTGAAAGTGTTGTGGTCAGATGAGACCAAAATCGAGCTCTTTGGCATCAACTCAACTCGCCGTGTTTGGAGGAGGAGGAATGCTGCCTATGACCCCAAGAACACCATCCCCACCGTCAAACATGGAGGTGGAAACATTATGCTTTGGGGGTGTTTTTCTGCTAAGTGGACAGGACAACTTCACCACATCAAAGGGACGATGGACGGGGCCATGTACCGTCAAATCTTGGGTGAGAACCTCCTTCCCTCAGCCAGGGCATTGCAAATGGGTCGTGGATGGGTATTCCAGCATGACAATGACCCAAAACACACGGCCAAGGCAACAAAGGAGTGGCTCAAGAAAAAGCACATTAAGGTCCTGGAGTGGCCTAGCCAGTCTCCAGACCTTAATCCCATAGAAAATCTGTGGAGGGAGCTGACGGTTCGAGTTGCCAAACGTCAGCCTCGAAACCTTAATGACTTGGAGAAGATCTGCAAAGAGGAGTGGGACAAAATCCCTCCTGAGATGTGTGCAAACCTGGTGGCCAACTACAAGAAACGTCTGACCTCTGTGATTGCCAACAAGGGTTTTGCCACCAAGTACTAAGTCATGTTTTGCAGAGGGGTCAAATACTTATTTCCCTCATTAAAATGCAAATCAATTTATAACATTTTTGACATGCGTTTTTCTGGATTTTTTTGTTGTTATTCTGTCTCTCACTGTTCAAATAAACCCATTTCTTTGTCAGTGAGCAAACGTACAAAATCAGCAGGGATCAAATACATTTTTCCCTCACTGTATGCGCTCTCCTCCTCCCACCTTTTCCCTTCGCTTGTGGACTTCAATGCACAACACATCAGCTGTATGTGACCAGGCGAAAAAAACTTTCCAAGCCAAACCATAACATAACCACTACACATAGCCTACATCGTTGTCGCCATATTAGCTAAAGTAACGTCATAGTCAACATAGTTAATAGAACTAACACGTTGGTAAACCTGCTACAATCATGCAGTAACGTTACAGTGTGCAGTCAGTGAGCAGTTTAGCATGGGCCCCGGTGGCAATACATTTGTAAAACCAAACGTTTACCTTGACTTGGAAGAGTTCCAGTGTTGTGTAGGATAGTCATAGCCAGCTAGCTAAAATAGCATACGTCTGTTTGAGCAGGGTGTTTGAGTAGGCTAAACTAGGTAGCTGCATTTGCTAGCTAAGTAAAAAAATAAAAAATAAGATGAAATCTCTCTCTATCTCTCTCTTGCTTCTCCTTCATTTTGGAAGAAATTCATTTGTTCAAAACTGTTGAACTATTGTCTTTCTCTCTGTTTGAGTCAACTACTCACCACTTTTTATGCACTGCACTGCAGTTCTAGCTAGCTGTAGTTTATGCTTTCAGTACTAGATTAATTCTCTGATCCTTTGATTGGGTGGACAACATGTCAGTTCATGCTGCAAGAGCTCTGATAGGTTGGAGGACGTCCTCCGGAAGTTGTCATAATTACTGTGTAAGTCTATGGAAGGGGGTGAGAACCATGAGCTTCCTAGGTTTTGTATTACAGAGTGCTGTTGAGGGTACTGTAGACCTTCATTGCAAAATAGTGTGTTTTAATCAATTATTTGGTGACGTGATTATATTTAGTATAGTTTTATCTAAAAAGGATAACTTTTTTAAATGTTTTACTATTTGTATTTTTATGAAATACACTGAATTCAATTCCTCCTCTGAGGAGCCTCTACTGACTGGGACAGATAGAGCTCTTGAACCAGGGTTTGCCACAACATGTTTTTATGAATTAGGATGCTGTTACCTATTGATGAACACAATATATTTCCTTCTCTGAAACACAGGATATATGTGATAAGGGTCCATATAGAGTTATTATATAGTTGGTATGGTGTAACATATTTGTTGAATATCTTAACATGGACAAATGCTGAATAAAGCAACGTTATATATTACTCACCTGTTGTTATTTGGTTGAAAAGATAAAAGATGTACTGATTCTTGTGAATCATATGCCATGTCGTGATCTTTGACAGCTTTAGTCCAAAGGGTCAATAAAAATTCGTCCGTATTACATAACGTTTTGTCGTTTTCTCTTTAAGTGAAGGCTGAAAAAGTTAATATGTATTCTATATGTAGTACACGTAAGAAGTGTAGTATTCATGAAAAGGAGAGAGAGAGAGAGAGGCTGCAGCCTGTTTTAGGTGACGCAAGATCCGGAGATGAGGGCCATACGAGTGCAGTAGTTGAGGCGCCACGTCCGCAGAACCAACAAGATAAACCGTATACTTTTTTTGGGGAAAAGTTTGAAGCCTCGCAAGTACGATTATACTTGTGTTGAAATACAGGGCAATACGTTATTAGTGAAGTATAGCTTTGAATAGATCTGTTTGAACAAAAGTAAGAACTCGGAGGCGGAACATTGCGATAGTATTTTCAGGGAGACAAACGAGCGCACCAGTTATTCTTTGTCCCAGGTGCGTTTTTTTGAAGACGTAGCATTCCCTTCTGCAAGCGGCCATCGGAAAGTACTGGAAACATGGTGAAGGTAAGGATTTGTCTTGCCTTTTATATCGATTTCATTTTCACAATGCATTCCTGTGTTTCGACAAGTAAAGTGATACTGCATATAGATTTGGGTATGATAAAACCATTGCGCACGAACGAAATGCACAACCGAATTGATTAGATCCAGAGTGACGCACAGATAGTCGTTTTACACAACAGGCTAAATAACCCAAAATACATGTTGTAAAAACGAAATATATTGGCCAAATTATTGACGTTTTGCCTTTCGTTATCCACGTTTCATGAGTGTTATTCGTACAACGTACGTAGCCCAAACAGAGAAGAGGTTTCACGACGGGGTTACTTTTTAAGACCCTTGTTTTTAAAAACCTGTAGCCTTGGCTCTGTCGTCTTATTGTGATTTTTCTTTGACGAACAAAATGGCATTTGAATCTACACGAAGCAACCAATGATTGTAGCCTATGGTTTTGCAACACGAAGAGCAAGATAACTTTAATGATCAATAATCACAGGTTTTGAACGTTGTTTGTGCTTGACAGGCCGCGTCAAATTGCACGTTTTGCGGAAGAAATCCCCAATAATAGCCTTTCTAATATGCTGTTACTTAACCTACTTATGCCTGTAGCACGTTTTTCTTCATGGCTGCTCAGTAGGCCTATAGGTTAAAGCCTGAACGCTCCCCCAACGTGGCAGCGAACATTTTGGATCAGAAATTAATTTCAAAGTGAGTTTGATGGTACTCGTTTGACTTTGCCTGCAGAGATGTTGCCTAATACCTATAGGGCTAGTGGTGGTTTAACAACGTGTAAGATATGCTACTTGTATGAACTTATTAAATAAGATATATTCTATAGGCTAATCTATATCTTTTATTTTTTATTTTTTTCTGTGTCAGAACGTGAACGCCACCCCAGAGCCTCAGCCTGAAGGTTGTCTCATGGGAGAAGAACCTGAGCCCACTGAAAACGACCCCACAGCAGGTAACCAGGCACACAAGAATACATTAACAGTGCACTCGGCATTGCGCAGTCTCTCTGCTGCATCACTCTTGGTGGGCATTTTTAAAGTGCCAGTTTGTCAAGGGACCCTTTAATCATCTGGGATATGGTGCAATCCAGGGTAAAGGGTTGCTTGGTGCTATTTAAGCAACTTTAGAGATGTATCAAGGGAATATGTTTGTGCAAGAGGAAGGGTAAGGGTTGTACTGCATGTCAGTCTGTCTCTGTCTTGTGGAGAGATTTCTCAATAAGTGCGTTATGTAGAATACCTCAAAGTATTGACATTTGTTACTATTGTTTAACGATATGATTCAATGTGTGTAGGTATGAGCCTATATCCAAGCACAAAACCTGTTTTCTCTCTGGTCTCTTACTCTCTGGTAGTGCTCTGTCTCACAAACATGACATGGTTTTCGCTCTTCCTTGCGCTCTGGTCTGTCTCTTTTTGAAACTGTACTGAGGTGTTTTGTGTGTCGTCTTTCTAAAAGCTATCTCTCTTCTAGATGAGGCGAAGGATGAAGGGAAGGAGCACCCCGTGGCCCAGCCAGGCATGATCTGGCGGGTCGGGGGTGGCCTGTTCAGCGCCAGTAAAACGATGGTGGGCGCCACAGTAGGAGGAGTCGCCTGGCTGGGTGGGAAGAGTCTGGAGTACACCAAATCAGCGGTCACCTCTGTCCCCTCGATGGGCGTCGGCCTGGTGAAAGGGGTTGCCGGGGGCGTGTCATCAGTTGCCGGGGGCGTGTCATCGGTGGGTTCCACTGTAGCCAGCAAAGTTCCGTTCAGATCCAAGACTAAGGACAAGGCAGAGTGAGGAAGAGGAGAAGATGATGATGATGATGGACACAACACACAATGCATCGCCCCCCCTGACTGAGCCATAAGAGGATGTGGTGAGAGATGAGACGAGAAGCTAGTCGCAGTGTTTTCAAAGTTCAGTGGACATTTATTTTTCTTCTGTTAGTTTGTACAGGACATTCACTAAGTTGTACCTGGGGAAACTTGTTCAGTAGTGCCTTCTGTAACCTCCCCCTTTTCCTTTTTGTTTATTCTGTTAGTCTGTAACCGCGTTTCCATCCATAGTTTTTATGCAAGTAAAGTCATACCGTATAAAAAAAAAAAATCACGACAGCTGTGATGGAAACAGGTAATTTTGGTAATTTGCTATTTAACGCAACAGTTTTTGACAACTATAGGTTGAGTTGAAAATGCGATGGAAACATATTGAACTTGAGATTTTTATTCGGTACATGAAAACTTTAGCGAAAAAGTACATTTTGTGTGCTCTACATCATCACGCACTAACTTTAATCTGCAACAAGTCCGTTTGGTGGAAACACCACTGGTGGGAAAATTCGCATTTTCTTTATGCTGATTTTTGAATATTTGCATGAAAATCTGTCGCCAATTGGATGGAAACGTAGCTAGTGTTGAAGAGGGAGATCAATGTAATTCAGGGCAGGGGTCACATATGTCCCTTTCTCTGCTGTCCTTACCCCCCTCCGTTCCCCCTCAAAACACCATTTCACTGTGCAATGTGTACAGGGGCTCGTCATCCAATCCTACATGGGCCCCTGAAGCCTTAAGACAATGTCTAGCAGTTTGGGAGAGACAGACAGGCTAGCTTGGGTTCTTCTCCAACCAACTAAAGCCTGGTTTGTGGTTTATGATGTGCTGGTATTTTTGTTTGATCTTTTGTGACCGCTCTCCAAACACAGAGCATTGGTCGTTTCAAAATGCTACAGTAAACCTTATGAACATGTGTTGAAGATATAGCTGTTTGGGACTTCTGAAAAGAGTTTGATAGCATTGACAAAATAAAAGTTGGAGGTGGTGTGATTCCAAGAGGGACAATAGCCCTGTTTAGGTTGATGCGGTGGCAAATTGATATGATCACTTTAATCATGGTTTTTCAATAGATTCATATATGAACTGGAAACGTCATCAATTTTATATAAAAATATATATATTTATTGATGAAGGGCTAGTTGTTTCTCAACTGCCTGTCTGTTTTGGCCCCTTTTTTTATGGTTACGTGAACATTTCTATGGAAATTCAGCATATCAATGCAAAGTTTTGGGTTTGATTTTCTGCATTCTGCCATGACTGGGCTATTGCTGGTAGAGAATGCTGATGTGAATGTCTTGTATGTTTGTACTTTCCGACATAATAATAAAGTATTGTGGGAAGTTTGACGTTATTGTGCCTCTGTGTCTTATTCACAGCTTGGGATGTACCATGTGGTTAAGACAAAGGCTGCCCAAATCTGATCTTATGCCAAATTATTTGCAAAAGAGCTGATCTGATTGGTCAAAAGACCAATTATTGGTGTAAACGCAGCCATAGAGTGCAACCAAAGTCGAGATGGTACCACCAGAGACTGACGAGGAAGCGAGACATCCCATTCACATTTTTATTATGGTTCATATACAGTCAATGAACTAAGCAGACCAGACCCAGCTGCTATTGCATTGGTGCCTATGGTGTTAAACAGACCATTTATTTTTCATTGGTAAGCTGCCTGAGTGGGACATCTTCATTTATCCACTGTCTTTGGTACCACATCACTAGATGAGGGTAGTCCATTGGGAACTGCATTTCTCTAATGGCAGCATACTCGTGTTTGTGTAATGTCTATGTTGCCATGTTGAAGGTCTCTTGAGTGTTGCTGATCCTCAAGGATCTGAGTGTTTGGGTCAATATGGAGTCCTATTATTAGCCTGGGTGCCAGACTGTTGCTGCATTACACAGCACTACATCACTATGGACAGGACAACAGGTTGACTAGTCTATAGCTCAAACTAACTGGCAACCAGCCAGACAATTTATAGAATCCTTTCTCTTGACAGTTATTTTTACTGCTCTTCATGTATTAAAAGATCACTGTTGTCAAGTCTATTTAAACAAGCTGCTGATAAACCAGTGGTATCTTGTATGTTATCTGTCTCAGGGAGGGATGTTAACAGACACTTGCCCGCTCCATATCCTTGGTGTCAGTCTGGAACCAAGATGGTCTCGCTTCAAGTCAACTCTTTCCAAACCGGTTCAACACAGAAAAAGATGAGAATGAGTGCCCCAGCTAAATTATTGTAATAACTTTAATTATTACCAATATCTCTTATGAAATAATTTGCCTAATGAAACGTTGCAAATTCCTAAACAGAGAAATTAAAATACCCTTAGAAATTAGACCAGACATTAAAAAGTCAAGCATACAGAGTTATTTCAACCATTTAATTTGTTGTGCTAGAGGTATACTGTATATACATTACATTATTTTAACATCTGTGAAGGCAATTCTTTGGTAATTCTGTAAAAACAAAAAGTAACAAAAGCAGTCGTACAATTCCATAGGGAAAACAACAATAGCGTTCACTCTTCACCCTCCATTTTAGCAGAAATTAAGAAACATGGTGGGAAAATAACACGATGAACAGCCTTATGCTTTTACACACACTTTTGCTACAGAGAGCAGCTGGTTTGATTTGACCAATCAGCTTGCTGCGATCCTCAGGGTTAGAAGTCAAAGGTAATGGGGGGTCCAGATCTAAATATCAGGTCTCCTGTGAAATGGTTTTATCGTTGTCTGCTCTGTCCGAGTAAGTCCAGTTGGAGTTTGTCTTCAGGCTATGTTTCAGACATACAGTACAGAAGTAAAGCTACAGTCTAACAGTAACTGACATATTTACATAATCATTTACATCATAACATATTATAGACTGTACATCATGTTCAACCCAGGTGGGGAATTTAGAGTCCTAACCTTGGGCACCCAAAATTAGATTCCGATAAATCCAAACTGATTTGACCATTTTTCCAAATTTAAATAATACATTTTTGAGATCACAACTCTGAAAACTAAGACTCAGGGACTTTCATGTCACATCTCATACAGGAACAGAGACTTTTCCTTGATACAAAAATATTTATTTAAACATCTATGTACAGTATGTATAATAATTTCTATCTATCTATGACAGCAGCAGCTTATGAAGACACAGCCATCCTCTCATCCTGCTGACTCGTACTCTTCTGAAACACAAACACAGAACAAAGGAAACATTATTATTATGCTTTACTAAGTAAATACCTGATGGGTTTACTGTATCACAATGCAGAATCACTGATAAACTGAGTGTAAAAAAAACTCACACTTGACTTCCCCCCCCCCACTAGCTCTGACTTTGCTGATAGCTACTTTATTGAGGAAAAATGTACTTACTATAACCGTGAGATGTGGTTGTCCCACCTAGCTATCTTAAGATGAATGTACTAACTGTAAATCGCTCTGGATAAGAGCGTCTGCTAAATGACTAAAATGTCAATGTTGAGTCAGTTATACTATGCTCCTAAAAGTCTAACTTCATGAACTCAGAAACATGAATATTTCCATTTTTTTTGTAACTTATCGATCCCCCCCAGGTACATAACATAGACTGTAGAAAACAGAATGTTAACACACACATTGACCCCTGACTTACCCGTTTATTGTGTCGCTGTACCTTGAAGGCGGAGGACAGAGAGTCGTTGTCTCCGGCCACTTCCTGTTCCGACTCCCGTCCCCTCTTCCTAGACCCGCACCCGGCCCCACCCCGGACCAGACGACCTGGATACTGAGGCACAGCAAAGTCATGGGCACATCCTGTCTGACAGAGTCCATGATTGGACGAATGTGCCTGCTCTGTGTGCGCCATTCCACAGCCTGCAGTGACCAAGAGACAAACAGAAATAGACCCATAAGAATTTCCTCCTCAACATAACACTGTAAGTGACTGTTGTGTCTAGTCTGATATGATATACTGTGTCTAGTCTGATATACTGTGTTTAGTCTGATATGATATACCGTGTCTAGTCTGATATACCGTGTCTAGTCTGATATGATATACTGTGTCTAGTCTGATATACCGTGTCTAGTCTGATATACTGTGTTTAGTCTGATATGATATACCGTGTCTAGTCTGATATGATATACCGTGTCTAGTCTGATATACTGTGTCTAGTCTATGATATACTGTGTCTAGTCTATGATATACTGTGTCTAGTCTGATATGATATACCGTGTCTAGTCTGATATACAGTGTCTAGTCTGATATACAGTGTCTAGTCTGATATACAGTGTCTAGTCTGATATGATATACCGTGTCTAGTCTGATATGATATAGTGTGTCTAGTCTATGATATACTGTGTCTAGTCTATGATATACTGTGTCTAGTCTATGATATACTGTGTCTAGTCTATGATATACTGTGTCTAGTCTATGATATACTGTGTCTAGTCTGATATGATATACCGTGTCTAGTCTGATATACTGTGTCTAGTCTGATATACTGTGTCTAGTCTGATATGCCGTGTCTAGTCTGATATGATATACTGTGTCTAGTCTGATATGCCGTGTCTAGTCTGATATACAGTGTCTAGTCTGATATGATATACTGTGTCTAGTCTGATATACTGTGTCTAGTCTGATATGATATACCGTGTCTAGTCTGATATGATATAGTGTGTCTAGTCTATGATATCCTGTGTCTAGTCTATGATATACTGTGTCTAGTCTATGATATACTGTGTTTAGTCTGATATGATATACCGTGTCTAGTCTGATATGATATACCGTGTCTAGTCTGATATACTGTGTCTAGTCTGATATGATATGCCGTGTCTAGTCTGATATGATATGCCGTGTCTAGTCTGATATGATATGCCGTGTCTAGTCTGATATACAGTGTCTAGTCTGATATGATATACTGTGTCTAGTCTGATATACTGTGTCTAGTCTGATATACTGTGTCTAGTCTGATATACTGTGTCTAGTCTGATATGATATACCGTGTCTAGTCTGATATACCGTGTCTAGTCTGATATGATATACCGTGTCTAGTCTGATATGATATACCGTGTCTAGTCTGATATGATATACCGTGTCTAGTCTGATATGATATACCGTGTCTAGTCTGATATGATATACCGTGTCTAGTCTGATATACCGTGTCTAGTCTGATATGATATACCGTGTCTAGTCTGATATGATATGATATACCGTGTCTAGTCTGATATACTGTGTCTAGTCTGATATACTGTGTCTAGTCTGATATGATATACCGTGTCTAGTCTGATATGATATACCGTGTCTAGTCTGATATACCGTGTCTAGTCTGATATGATATGATATACCGTGTCTAGTCTGATATACTGTGTCTAGTCTGATATGATATACCGTATCTAGTCTGATATACTGTGTCTAGTCTGATATGATATACCGTGTCTAGTCTGATATGATATACCGTGTCTAGTCTGATATGATATACCGTGTCTAGTCTGATATGATATGATATACCGTGTCTAGTCTGATATACCGTGTCTAGTCTGATATACTGTGTCTTACTCTGAGTGTATGTTGGTCCAGGTCGTGGTCTAACGCCCCTGGGTCCCGGCTGCTCCTCACCGTTCACTATTACACTTCTGTTTTCTCTACCACGGCCTGGATAGAGGAGAAGAGAGGGGGAGGAGGAAAGGAGAGGAGGGGAGGGTGAGATGAGAGTAGAGTAGAGTAGAGTAGAGTAGAGTAGAGTAGAGGATAGAAGTGTGGGTTAGATTGTGCTCATTTTGCAGTCGTGGTGTGATAACAGTAAAGGAGTTTTAGGCCATGGTCCTTGCTCACCATGATGGCTGTTGGTCCCGCTGTGTTTTCTACCAGTAGAGGGCGACGCCAGCGGCTTGACCTCATTCACATTCAGACCCTCAATAGGACTGGTTGGCACAGCAGCTAGTAAGCCTATCAGGACAGTGAAGGAGAGAGACAAGTTCTAATGAGCAGGTGTGATAAAGAGAGAGATAGCGACAGAGAGAAGGAGACAGACAGAAAGCAAGAGAAATACAGACAGAGACAGAACAATACAAAGCGAAGGAGGGAGAAAAATACTTACTGAGTCCTCTGTATCTGGACAGCTGCTGGTAGATTTGTCTCATCCTCTCTATGTTGAGTCGGCTGGCCTCTGCATGGTTCACCATGGGTTTGGGGTAGTCCACGCCGACCACACACTTGGCCGCCCGCTGCACCTCTATGGGGGCATTCCAAGGGTCGTAGATGTACTTGTCTGGCATGTCTTTCAGGACAGGTAAGTATCGCCTGCAAGCAGAAGGAGAAATTAAAATTACGCCTCGTCACCACTGCCAGAGGAGTTGGTTCAGCACAACATACAGACAGCAGTCAGACAGACTTACAGAACAGCCTTGCTAATGTATGACTTGTTAAAGCAGATACTTTGAGTCTGTGTGCATGTTGTGTGTGTGCATTTAGATATACCAACCTGATGAAGTCTCCTTCTGGATCTATTTTTCGTCCGAAGCCCACAGGACAGTAGCAGTGGAAGAACTGCTGGAAGAAGGAACTGCAGGAGTGACACAGCCAGCTGCCTGCGTTCACACTCCAATCTGCATCCAGGAGCAGCTCCTCAAACACCTGACAGACAGGTACACAGACACAACATGGTCAGATACACAGAACAACAACACAGTCTCTCTCTCTCTCTCTCTCCTCCCAGCTGATCCACATCCCTTATCTCCCTCCACCTTCTCTCTCTCTACCTTCATGCCCTCCTCCCAGCTGATCCACAGGTCTCCTCTGGTGAGGAAGCAGGCCACAGCGTGTCTGGCCAGGTGGTGGATCCATCCTTCCTGCCTCAACTGGGTCATGATGGCGTCGATCCAGGGGAAGCCCGTCTTGGCCTCGGCCCACTTGGCCAGCGCCTCTGCGTTGCGGTCCCAGGGGATGCGGATACAGATGGGGTTGCCCTCCATCTTGTCGAAGCGAGGGTTGTTAGTGGCAGCAGTATAGAAGAACTCACGCCACAGCAGCTTGTCGTAGAGGGAGATGGGAGGACTGTCGTTCGTCTTCACCTGAGGCGAGGACAGAGAAGATAAATATAACACGAGCAAAATAATAAACAACCTTGCGTGATAGTTGTGATCAGTGTGAGTTGGTGTTAGTGTTAAGTAAGGATACGTGTGTGTGTGTTGGTGTTAGTGTTCAGCAGGGATAGATGTGTGTGTGTATGCATGTGTGTGTGTGTGTGTGTGTGTTTGTCTGCGTGTGTGTGTGTGTGTGTGTGTGTACAGTACCTCTTTGTAGAGCTCAACCAGTTTGCTGTAGAAGAGTCGACAGGACAGACATCCAAAGCGAAGGTAGGGGCTGAGACCCAGAGGACTGGCGAGCAGGGGGCTGGCGGTCTTCCTGGGACGCTCAAAATTCACCTGCCATGTCTGGAGAGAGAGAAAGGTTTAATATATGATACATATATGATATAAAACATAAGTCTGAGTCAATGAGTCTGTATGTGTATGTGTTGTTACATACTGTGGAGAGGTCAGGTCCAAGTTGTCTTTCTATCCTGGTGAGAGCTTCACTCTCTCCTCCAGGCCACACAGCTGGAGCCAAGCCCTCAGTGTCAAAGCCTGGGGAGGGAAACAGGCACACAGCATGTTTAGACACTTGCGGTAAAAGTATCTAGAATTTTTTTTCACAATATGGATTCCAATGGGAACAATTGTGAAGTGTCTTACCCAGCTCCTCCAGTAGGGGCACTCCGTACTTGTCCGTGTGGTTGTCTGAGACGGGGGTGACACATCGACCCATGCTGGCCTGGGACAGAGCCTCTACTGGGGAGTCCGGGGGCAGCATGGAGCCCACCAACGTCTGGAAACGCTTGAAGGTGAGAGGAGGGTGACCACCGTTCAGCTCCATGATCCTACAGAGAGGAGGAGAGGGTTTCAATTCAGGGCTCGGTTTAATACAAACCTCCATGTGAAAATGTCACTGGGTGTCCCACTCACTTGTCCAGGTCGTAGAGTGTGTGAGAGGTCCTGCTGACGACCTCCACTCCAGCCTCTGTGGCCAGCTTCTTAATGGCTGCATCCCTCTCCTTACCGAATGGCTCAGAGTCACACTCAAACGTCAGCCGCGAGATGTTCCAATCCTGAGAGGACAGGACACAGCAAACACTGATACAGCATGGTGGATATTTGCTGTCTCTGGGTGGAGGGTTTGAGGGAGGCTGTGGAGAGGGTATGGGTGAGGGGGAGAGGGTATGGGTGGGGGGAAGATGGTAGGGATGATGGGGTCTCACCTTAAAGAGTCGGGGGAAGATGTTGGCCGGCTGGCCTCGGATCACAAACAGACGGGAGCTGAGCTTCTGGAGGCTTGCATCTAGATCTTCCAGACACTGCAGCAGGAACCTGAAACACAGGAATGGGCGGACAACTGTCACTATATGGCCATGCAGGAGAGGACGCTGCTTTACGGGCATTCTCACAGTGTGAAGAGACTCATGTTTGTGAGTTAAACCTGACACCATGTATGATTGAATAAAACCCTAATAAGTCCCACTAAATAATACATTATTTAGAATGAAGAACATGTTTGTTGGGCCAGGATATAAATACAAACTAAATCACTGTCCAAGAAGCATACTGACACCCTTTGACCATATGTCCATAATTCATGTTAAGATGGTGATCGTACATACAGTATAACAGTGCAGGTTTCTGGCACAACCTGCACGACTGCAGGCCACCACTAGTGCAGGTTTATGGCACAACATGCACTGTCTACAACGGAAACAGCCCAGCACACAGAGGCCACTCACACCTTCACAACAACCATAATGTCACACAAACATTTGCCTTTTTGCATTTACATCACCTTTCTAGCATTTATGGTCATTGAGGCACAGATTCTGGCACAGATTCAGTCCTTACTGTTGCAGATGTAATATTTGGAATGAAACTGTGCAACGGTTACATGGTTCAGTGATCAGTGTGGTATCCCAGATGACTGATTGACAGAAAACGCTGTGATCCTCCTGCCACAGAACAGTCCCCTGAGAGGACAGCAGCAGGTGGTACATGGTGTGTGTGTGTGTGTCTAGTGTGTGGGCAGAGTTAACACCTGAACACCTTTAAAGGTGATAAACAGGCTGTGGAGAAAGACAAGATAACCCTGTGTAGGCCTGCTATCTGCCTGTTGATTCATAAGAGTTTCCCAGATCAAATAAAATCGGAATAAAAAAGGTTAAAAAGTATAGGTGTGGACAAATTGATTTTTTTCTCAGTTTAATAGATGGCTAATCCAGCTGCAGATATGAGGGCCACTGCTGCTTCCTGCTGCTTGAGCAGTTTTAAAGATCCAGCTAGGCCGCTCCACCACAGCACAGCCTGCTGTAAAGTAGGTCATCCCAATAGCAACCACTACCTCAGAAAACTTAACTCTCTATTGGCACACTAACCTGGCCCGCTGCCTGGACGATGCCATTTTACAGACCTTGGCTCTACGCTCGTTGGTTTTTTAAGGATGCCAGAAAAAATGCCCCAGAGAGGATTTCTTAAATTGTACAGAAAGTGAAAATGACATTTGTCTGGCAGAGGCAATGGCAAATACTTGGAGGAAAATATTATCTGTGTCTATTACACTATGAATGCTCTCTTAACCATCTCTGGAAGAGAGAAGCTGTTGCTTCTGCATGCCAGTCATTCAATTAGGCCTAGTAGTATTTCTTCTATCTTCTGAGTTAAAATAATCAAGGAATAAGCACCACTACACTTTTTTAAAATGCTAGCCTACGAAATAGCCTAGTAAATAATTGGAGAATACTCAAACATAGAATCCACTAACTTTCAATACAGAAGACAATGCTGTTAACACTACTTTTATTTTGAAAGCAGACAGAATTACAATATAGGCCTACTGCTACAGTCCTGCTCTGCTGGGCCTGATCTATGGATGTCAAGATCCAGGCCTTCCACTGGCACATCTGAACACTCCATAGCCTACTTCTGTTTTCTCTAGCTTGGCCAGATAGTGGTAACCGTCTGATGGGAACTGTTCTGAGAACCACTTGATCACTATAACATCTGGTCTGGGTCAATAAATTGGACTTCCAATTCACTTCTTGAATTGAAATGGAACTGACCACAATCCTGCCTACAACATCAACTTCGTAATACACTGAACAACACTGTTAAATAGTTAACACTGTAATAACACAAACATTCAGAGCATACACAATGCATCTGTTTACTAGGACAATAGAATCTTATTGATTGGTTGGTTGATAGATTAATAGATAAATTAGTTGTGCCTCACCTCCACCGGTTGACCCCCAGGTTGGAGGAGCCAGCGAACCAGGGGTCCAGGAAGTAGACACAGCGCACCGTGTCTGAATCCCGCACCGCCTCCAGCAGGGCCGGGTTGTCATGGAGACGCAGTCCTTTCCGGAACCAGTGGATGGAGTTCTTGGCCATATTCGAAACAGGGACTGAAAAAATTGTTTTCTTTTATATGTTTAGAAGCCCAGTATGTGCTATAGTGCAGGGTGCCCCCCCGGGTGCACGTTTCAGTTTTTGCCCTAGCACTACACAGCTGATTCAAATAATCAAAGCTTGATAATGAGTTGGTTATTTGAATCAGCTGTGTAGTATTAGGGAAAAAAACAAAATGTGTACCCGGGGGGGGGGGGGGGGGCCAGGATCGAGTTTGTGAAACCCTGCTATAGAGAATGGGTCACCTTATTCAAATAAATAATAATAATAATAAAAATAAATAAAAAGCAAGTTATATATTTTTTGGTGCAAGTTATACTACATCGTTAAAGAGATGTAGTATAGAGAACTGATAATTAAACACACTGGAATACTTGTCAGCTTGTAGTCCTAAAAATCGGAAATGAGTTACCTCTGCTTCATTCAGCCATTTCTATGGGGGAAATTAATGGGGAAGAATGGGGTTTTGGGACAAACGCTGAAAATAAGGTCTAAGGTTAACACATGCTTAGGAGATCTTATATGTTTTGTTCAATGAGATAATCAGTCAGTTAACATGACCTTTATGAATTATGAAGCCTTTATGTGCTTTATATTCTTATTTTGATTATATAAATGCTTCAAAATTCGCAAAAAGTGACATTAGCTGATGAAGATTATCTCATAGAACAAAACATGTGATCTCCTAAGCCTGTGTTTACCACATACCTTATTTTCGGCATTTATCCAAAAACCCTACAATAACCCCATTCATTTCCCCATAGGCTTTGGCCAACGAGCCAGGCAGAGTTAGTGCTTACAAAAATACACTATTACTATTGCTCTCTATTATGAAGTATAATATTCATATTACACTATTCAATGCAATGCACTGTTCAATGTTCACACTGTAATGATTATGAAATGCTAATGAACATGTTCAGGTGAAAGTAGCAGACTAAACTAAACTCCACGATTTACCATGTAGTTGAGCAGCAACTAGTGTGGGCTGACTGGAGCTCCAACGTCCATTAAAATAACGTTTTATTTTATTTTTTAATAAAATTTCAGCACAGGCTATTCTTTGGGTGCTGAAAAAAAATGTTTATCAATTCGCACAGGCTAGTCGCCCCTCAACTCCATCGTAAATCGTGGAGTTGAGTTTAATCGGCTAGGTGAAAGTGGACTTTTGTTAGAAATAATGTAAAAATGCTTGCAATGCTCACAGCACTTTCATTTGTCTTCAATTCTACCATGAAGTTATTTTCATATTTCTGTGACATGTATATAATATAATACATTTATATGATGTATAGAGTCAAATGGGCCTGACACAAATATGGTCATCCAAAATAGTTTAGTTTACTTCTCACCTCAAAAAATTTTTGGGGGGGACAAATCATTCAAAAATAACAAAATATTGCTTTACTGTTTTTATCAGCAGGGATGAAGAAAAAAGCAATACATTTAGTTTCTCGACTTTTGAATAAATATAAGTTATATCACACTCAAATACAGGGCAGTTTAGAGCACACTTCACAATGTAGGTCAATCTGGTCACCATAACAGCTAGACTGTTACAGCATCTGACCACAGCATCATTCGCATTATATACATTGCATAACTGCACATAAATTGCTCAGAAAGCTCAGACACACTTAAACACACATTTTACACCTTATCCAAGGACAGACAACTTGTTTTGTTATTTGGCAATGCACAGCCTCAGAAGCGGGTCAGTTAGTAATACATGTTCCCCTACTTTATATGGAATACACCTAATACGTTATGATAACCAATAATCTCAATTTCTTACCTATAATGTGTACTCAAGGATGTGTCTTTTATGTCATTACCGTTGACAGGGCCGTTTAATCCCACGGGTGGTCTCTCAAAATGTAAATTAAACTGTCTCGGGTACAGTTCTACCAGTGCAATAAATAGTTTCATAACTGTTCTAGCTACAACGCATGCTCAATGTTCCAGTGAACAATATGATATAGAAATATTGATTAATAGATATGATGTCTGTTTCAAACCACAGGACCTTAACTGTCTAGTTAGAAATATCTATCCTCCCAGCGACACGCCCCAACAAGCTACAAATAAGCGACCTAGAAAAAGGAAGTATCCAATTGGTGGATTTCCAAGTGACGCAGTGGGCATGTACTCACGTTTCTGTGGCATGGCTCCAGAGCACTTTGTGCAATATTTAGAGGCTTTTGGTACACTAAATATGATTTTTTTTGGTGAAGTTTTCGTGCCATTCATGTTTTTATTATGGGCTGAACATTTTTATTTTACATGTAATACCTCAATTTCGATAATCTGAAACCCCGCCCTGTTTTTCTGTGGAACATGTGATTGGTTACTTTGGGAGAGACCCGGATGATCACGGGTGGTAGAATTTTCGAGTCCCATGGAAGCAGTGATGGCTCAAAGTAGCGTAATTGCTTGTTAAAACATGGGCACAAGCGGAACTTTGTCGGTCTTGATGGAGGGTGTTATGAATTAACGTTATACGTATATATATATTCCGATTTTCAATCAGTAGATGAAATCATGCGTACACAAATCTAAGTAACAATAAATAAACGAACACACCACCGTATCGACAAATTCATTCATTCTTCATTGATTTTTGTTTGGGCAGTTTCAGCATCGCTTTGTTTGGGGTCCTTCCATTAGCTAAGCATCAGTCGCGCTCTTGTTAGCAACAGAGCTACAAAGCTAAACGGCAGTGTTTTGGATACATCAACTTGAAGACGGTTTATTTTGATATTCATGGTATCAGAATTGTTCAGCGATGAATTTAGAGTTGCTCGGTAATGATCATTTATCATTCTTCAATAATTGATTGGGTGCAAAAGCGCACGTAAACGAGGATACCGTAACTAGGCAGCACTAGCATGCTAGCTTGCTCGTTACTAGCGCTCAAGAAACATTAAGTAACAGTGAATAGTTAAAATACATTTCCATAGTGTTAATCTTACATTTGAGGTACAAGGTGAAATCACACAGCAAATAGCAGGAAACAACGACTATACGTTAGTCAATGAATGAACGATCTGCGTATGTATGGTACTGTAACTGCCGTTAGAAGGATAAACAGTAACGTTAGTCTATTTGCTCTTTGCAGCCTGCGGATTGTGCTGGCCTTTTCCAGTCGGTGATCTTCAAGCTGTTGTTTTATCATAACAGCTTGTAATACTGTTTTAGAAACCTTTGGAACTTTAATATCAGCGATAAATAATATTTCAAAAACATACTTACTGTATGCAGTTGCACACTGCTGTGTATCTTTTCTATTTGAAAAATGTATCACTGATAAGAAAGGAAAGTTTCAAATGTTTCCATAAGCGAGACATATTAACGTTTAGACAGCGTTTGGTGATTTCCCTCACATGGCAGATATGTTCGTAAATAGAGCTAACTCCTCGATCACACCGACAGTGTCATTGTGCAAAATGGTACCCCGCATCATCTGGATATGTGTGTAACAAAAGTTCAACATTCACCTTCTGCTACCATTTCTGTCAAGCCGTCTACACATACAGTTTGATACATACGTTCGATAAATCCAAGGAAGAATACACTGCCTCTGCAAGGCAAACGCAGCGTTCCATTGGAAATGAATGGACTTCTGGTGTGGTCCCCTGTAGCTCAGTTGCAACGCCAGGGTTGTGGGTTCGTTTCCCACGGGGGGCCAGTATGAAAAATGTATGCACTCACTAACTGTAAGTCGCTCTGGATAAGAGCGTCTGCTAAATGACTAAAATGTGTGATGGTGGCGTAATAATATAAATATGCCATTTAGCAGACGCTTTTATCCAAAGTGACTTAGTCATGTGTGCATACATTTTTACGTATGGGTGGTCCCGGGGATCGAACCCACTACCCTGGCGTTACAAGCGCCATGCTCTACCAATTGAGCTACAGAGGACCACTCTAATGCGCTAGCATTACCATCTATGAATGGGCAAACCCAGCCCTAGGCATTACAGTACATGAATGGGCTAACCATATTCTTTGTTTTCTACTACAGAGTCATTCGGGCAGAACTATCCAGAGGTAGGCCATTCCTGTTCTACTGTTACCTGTAACTTGTCAACACAACATCTCTCCCTCACAGTGAATGGTTATGCCCTCTTCCTCACAGTGAATGTTTATGCCTTCTCCCTCACAGTACAAAAGCGCACGTAATGCGTATATGCTTATTCTAGTCCTAAGAGTAGAACATAGCCAAGCGGTGCTCAAACCTCCAGAGGCATAGCTAAAGCTTGTGCTTGAGGTTGAGCAGACGGTCCATTGAAAATATGACCCAAAAAATGTCAACCAACCTTTACTTATTGATACTAACTTCATTCTCGATTTGGAAGGCACCGGTGTCTTAAACAATGTTTCTAGTTGCAGGTGGAACCCCGATAACTAAATATTCAGACAGATATTAAATCCACTTTTTGCACCGAGTTAGAAGTTCCCTTACCATTGTAGCTGCCAGACATCTTACATTTCCCAACATCTTTGCTGGAACTAGTTATTTCTAGGCTCCGTGGCCGCATGATGAAGAAGATAACAGCTTGTCACACAGCGCAACACAAATAAAGATCTACACACATGCTAGAGGCATTTCTCACTTGGTACAAATATCTTTCTGAATATTTCCTCATTATTGGAGTTCCACCTGCAACTAGAAAAATGAGTTTTCCCAAGAATGAAGGAAGTATGGCCACGTTAAAGGGATAATCCACCTCAAACCACTAATTCCTATGAGGTAGCTACACAATAATACCAAAGTAAATAACAGCATGTGAAGTAGCTAGCTAGCTGTAAAGTCGCCTAAAGAAACTGCACTATCAATTTAGAAGTAAATCTCACAGAGTTCAACTTGCAGTTCTCTGCCCAGAGTGAGTGAAAGATTACGTTGCTATGGCAACAACAGCCCTTTCCCACGTTTCTGACAGACAGGGTGCATTGCAAGATGGTACTTTTTTTACATGTTTTACATTTTTAGTCATTTAGCAGACGCTCTTATCCAGAGCGACTTACAGTTAGTGAGTGCATACATTTTCGTACTTGAAGGAGAAACAGAGTTGAATAATTTGGTACACTGTTGAGCACATCTAAGCAAAATATATACAGTGCATTCGGAAAGTATTCAGACCCCTTGACTTTTTCCACATTTTGTTGCGTTACAGCCTTATTCTGAAATTGATTCAATTGTTTTGTTTTTTCATCATCAATCTACACACAATACCCTATAATGACAAGGCAAAAACAGGTTTGTAAAATTTTTGCAAATGTATAACAAATACAAAAAACGGAAATATCACGTTTACATACACTACCGGTCAAAAGTTTTAGAACACCTACTCATTCAAGGGTTTTTCTTTTCTTTTTACTATTTTCTACATTGTAGAGTAGTAGTGAAGACATCAAAACTATGAAATAACACATATGGAATCATGTAGTAACCAAAAAAGTGTTAAACAAATCCAAATATATTTTATATTTGAGATTCTTCAAATAGCCACCCTTTGCCTTGATGACAGCTTTGCACGCTCTTGGCATTTTTTTGGTTACTACTTGATTCCATATGTGTTATTTCATAGTTTTGATGTCTTCACTATTATTCTACAATGTAGAAAATAGTAAAAATAAAGAAAAACCCTTGAATGAGCAGGTGTTCTAAAACCTTTGACCGGTAGTGTAAGTATTCAGACCCTTTACTCAGTACTTTGTTGAAGCACCATTGGCAGGGATTACAGCCTCGAGTCTTCTTGGGTATGACGCTACAAGCTTGGCACACCTGTATTTGGGGAGTTTCTCCCATTCTTCTCTGCATGTCCTCTCAAACACTTTCAGGATGGATGGGGAGCGTCGCTGCACAGCTATTTTCAGGTCTCTCCAGAGATGCTTGATCAGATTCAAGTCCGGGCTCTGGCTGGGCCACTCAAGGACATTAAGAGAGTTGTCCCGAAGCCACTCCTGCATTGTCTTGGCTGTGTGCTTAGGGTCGTTGTCATGATGGAAGATGAACCTTTGACCCAGTCTGAGGTCCTGAGCGCTCTGAAGCAGGTTTTCATTAAGGATCTCTCTGTACTTTGCTCTGTTCATCTTTCCCTCGATCCTGACTAGTCTCCCAGTCCCTGCCGCTGAAAAACATCCCCACAGCATGATGCTGCCACCACCATGCATCACCGTAGGGATGGTGCCAGGTTTCCTCCAGACGTGACGCTTGGCATTCAGGCCAAAGAGTTCAATCTGGGTCTCATCAGACCAGAGAATCTTGTTTCTCATGGTCTGAGAGTCCATTAGGTGCCTTTTGGCAAACTCCAAGCGGGCTGTCATGTGCCTTTTACTGAGGAGTGGCTTCTGTCTGGCCACTCTACCATAAAGGCCTGATTGGTGGAGTGCTGTAGAGATGGTTGTCCTTCTGGAAGGTTCTCCTATCTCCACAGAGGAACTCTGGAGTTCTGTCAGAGTGACCATCGGGTTCTTGGTCACCTTCCTGACCAAGGCCCTTCTCCCCCGACTGCTCAGTTTGGCCGGGCGGCCAGCTCTAGGAAGAGTCTTGGTGGTTCCAAACTTCTTCCATTTAAGAATGATGGAGGCCACTGTGTTCTTGGGGACCTTCAATGCTGCAAAAATGTTTTGGTACCCTTTCCCAGGTCTGTGACTCGACACAATCTTGTCCAATTAATTGAATTTACCACAGGTGGACTCCAATCAAGTTGTAGAAACATCTCAAGGATGATCAATGGAAACAGGATGTACCTGAGCTCAATTTGGAGTCTCATAGCAAAGGGTCTGAATACGTACAGTGAGGGGAAAAAGTATTTGATCCCCTGCTGATTTTGTACGTTTGCCCACTGACAAAGAAATGATCAGTCTATAATTTTAATGGTAAGTTTATTTGAACATTGAGAGACAGAATAACAACCAAAAAATCCAGAAAAACGCATGTCAAAAATTGTATAAATTGATTTGCATTTTAATGAGGGAAATAAGTATTTGACCCCCTCTCAATCAGAAAGATTTCTGGTTCCCAGGTGTGTTTTATACAGGTAACGAGTTGAGATTAGGAGCACACTCTTAAAGGGAGTGCTCCTAATCTCAGCGTGTTACCTGTATAAAAGACACCTGTCCACAGAAGCAATCAATCAATCAGATTCAAAACTCTCCACCATGGCCAAGATCAAAGAGCTCTCCAAGGATGTCAGGGACAAGATTGTAGACCTACCCAAGACCGGAATGGGCTACAAGACCATCGCCAAGCAGCTTGGTGAGAAGGTGACAACAGTTTGTGCGATTATTCGCAAATTGGAGAAACACAAAACTGTCAAATACTTTCCAAATGCACTGTACATTGTCATGACGATATAAACAGATAAATATGTTCTAGACAAGTATACCCATACCAGTTATTGGCTGATTTGGCGATCTGGAGTGCAGGTAATTGTTTTAAAACTGTTATGAAATGGGATAGTGTGTTATCCCCTATCTCCAGTGACCAGAACCATGTAACAGTAGCTGGCTATGACACGTTCCTACACGATTTCCTGATTTCACAGATGGACCACATAGAAGTTAAATAATGGGGACATTTTTTATTGAACATAGGCTTTCACCAAATTGACAGTAGTTTCAAAATTTTATTTTTGGGGGTGGATTATCCCTTCAAGGTTGGTTGAATTTTTAAAAACCGTATTGTCAATGGACTCTGCTCGACCACAAGCTTGAGCTATGCCACTGGAGGTTCGTGCACCACTTGGCTAAGTAGAACATCGATATACAAATGTGTGTGTGTTGTCTGTGTGAGTGTCTTGACATATCATTGCTATCTCATTGGCAGGAGGCAGATGGCACTCTGGACTGTATCAGTATGGCTCTGACGTGCATCTTTAACCGCTGGGGCACGCTTCTGGCGGTGGGGTGCAACGATGGACGCATCGTCATTTGGGACTTCCTGACACGGGGCATCGCCAAGATTATCAGTGCTCACATCCATCCAGTCTGCTCACTTTGGTGAGAAAACAAACTACGGTCACAACAAAGGAAAAACACACACACCGTTCAGAGTCCGCAAACCATGTTTATATATGCTCAAATGTTCTTCTTGTATTTTCTCATAAACCCATCATTTCGTTCCAGAGCCCTTGTCAAGGGGTGTTTTGACTGTGGTTCTGAATCTTAACCTTCCTAAACGTTTCCCTGTGTGTCTGCAGTTGGAGTCGAGATGGGCACAAGCTGGTGAGTGCGTCTACAGATAACATAGTGTCCCTGTGGGACGTCCTGACGGGAGACTGTGACCAAAGGTTCCGCTTCCCCTCGCCCATCCTAAAATTGCAGTACCACCCAAGAGATTTGTGAGTATATATCTGTATCTACCTCGTCCTATACCTCAGCCTAGTCTTATCCTTTCTAACTAATTCTAACTCCTAACCTCATCCATCAAACTACAAGTTAGTACAACCGACCCCACCCACCTGGGAGTATATATCTATACCCCAGCTCAGTATATACCTCGACCTTAGCTCAGCCTACACCTCAGCCTCTTATGCTTCCTAACTGATTGTCACTCCTAACCTCAACCCATCAAACTGTATGGAATAATGGAATATCTGTATGGAAAAATATAGAAAGCACCACTTGAAATGCCAACCTGTCCCCTCCCGTTGTGTTTCAGGGACAAGGTCCTGGTGTGTCCTATGAAGTCAGCCCCGGTACTGCTGACGCTGTCAGACTCTAAACATGTGGTTCTGCCCGTGGACGATGACTCTGACCTGAACGTGGTGGCGGCCTTTGACCGGCGGGGGGAGTACATCTACACCGGCAACGCCAAAGGAAAGGTCAGAGGTCACCAGGGGCTGGGACAGTTTAGATTTGAAACCTTGTTTATTTATTTGTGGATCAGACATACTCATTTTGTCATTCTTTTTCTATTTAGCACTTTATATATGATATATAGGTTGTATATGTGTGTGTTGGTGTGTGTGTGCTGTTTTCATTGATGTGACCCTGCAGATTTTGGTGCTGAACACGGACACACAGGATCTGATGGCATCGTTTCGTGTTACGACAGGGACCAGCAACACTACAGCCATCAAGTCCATAGAGTTTGCACGCAAGGGCAGGTGAGAGGACTGAGAGGGAACTAATTAGTGTGTGTTTGGGAAGGCTGAAAAGGCAATAGAACTCTTATGATTGTGTGGAAAATAGTTCTGGTGTTTAGAAGGTAGTTGTCGGCCTTTATGGAGAATATTTCGAAGTTTCATCAATAGACTGATCATGATCCATTCTCTTCTCCTCCTTCCTCCAGTTGTTTCCTCATCAACACAGCAGACCGAATCATCAGGGTGTATGACGGGAGGGAGATTCTCACCTGTGGGAGAGACGGGGAGCCAGAGCCCATGCAGAAACTACAGGACCTGGTCAACAGGTACACATACACACCGCCGCTGATAATGGCTGACCCTGGCCGTGACCCCCGAGGGTGTCTCAGGGGGAGTTGGGATATGCAAAAAACACATTTCACACATGCTTATAATAGAAAACAGGACAAATATAAACACACACACACACCTTCATGGCGCATACAAACCACACACATGCACACTTTGATACATCTCTCTCCTCTTCTCTTTCCCTCTCTCCCTCCACTCTCCTCCCATCTCGCTGAAGAACTCCCTGGAAGCGGTGTTGTTTCTCTGGGGATGGGGAGTACATCGTGGCTGGTTCAGCCCGGCAGCATGCTCTGTACATCTGGGAGAAAAGCATTGGTAACCTGGTGAAGATCCTCCATGGAACCAGAGGAGAACTACTGCTGGACGTGGCTGTAAGGAACCCCAAACCTCTTTCTTTCTCGCCCGACCCCCTTGGTTTTTCTCTGGAGATATTCTCTTTTTGCATCATTTCAAGGGGGGAATTATTTGAATTGTCTTTAGACTCACAGAATAAACAGTAACTCATTGTGCTGATGAACATTGACCTGACCCTGTGCTGACCTATTAACCCTGACCTCTCTGCAGTGGCACCCTGTGCGGCCAATCATCGCCTCCATCTCCAGCGGAGTGGTGTCCATCTGGGCTCAGAACCAAGTGGTGAGTGACAGACAACACAGGTTTGACCTGAGTTCTATACCCGGGTAGTGGTCTGGGTGCTGGACTGGTCTCTTTGTGCTATTGGCTAGGTCTTGAGATTGATTGATTTCAGAGAGTGATTCCACTGCCTTGGTAAGGCAATGATGAACGGTGATTCCATGCCAGCCCCAAAATATTTTTGGTATCTCACATTGTTCTGGCTATTTTCACATAGAAACTTCATTGGCAGGAAGGATGTTTGAGATGCTTTTTACATTTGTAACACAAACCATTTTTGACAAAATCATGATGAAAGTGGCCAATTTAGGAACTTTTTAGACCTATAAAGGGCTTGCAGTTGCGTCACAAATCACCTAGCAGTCGCACCAAGCTCCATGCTGGAAGACCAAACTCAGTCTGTTGAAAGTCCTCCAATCGTCCACATGGCTGGCTACCACCGGAAACTTCGGGAAGATTGCCCATTATTTAGTTTTTCTAAGGACCCAGAAAACGGAGGCAGTGAGAGAACCTAATCAAGTAAGTAAAACTATGTTGAAAGTGATCAAAAAAGATGTATTATTAGCTAGCTTGCTACAGAAACTTAGTGTGCAGGCTAACTCAAATGAGCTGCTAACGTAATGTTCGCTACTTAGCTAACTGTACATACTGTATAGTTAGCTAGGTGAATTAAATATCACCAGCTTGCTAACTTCATATTAGCTAGTTAGTTATCTTAACCTGTACGGGATCGGTGTCCCGTGTACGGGATGGTTGAGCTAACGTGCGCTAATGTGATTAGCATGACTGTTGTAAGTAACAGCAAACTTTCCAGGACATAGTCATGTCTTAGATGGGCAGAAAGCTTAAATCCTTGTAAATCTAACTGCACTGTCCAATTTACAGTAGCTATTACAGTGAAAAAAAAACATGCTATTGTTTGAGGAGAGTGCACAACAACAAAAAACGTATCACGGCAACTGGTTTGATACATTCACCTCTGAAGGTAAATAATGTACTTACATTCAGTAATCTTGCTCTGATTTGTCATCCTAAGGGTCCCAAAGATAAAATGTAGCATAGTTTTGTTTAATACAATCCATTTCTACAGTCGTGGTCAAAAGTTTTGAGAATGACACAAGTATTGGTCTTCACAAAGTTCGCTGCTTCAGTGTTATGAGATATTTTTGTCAGATGTTACTATGGTATACTGAAGTATAATTACAAGCATTCCATAAGTGTCAAAGGCTTTTATTGACAATTACATTAAGTTTATGCAAAGAGTCAATATTTGCAGTGTTGACCCTTCTTTTTCAAGACCTCTGCAATCTGCCCTGGCATGCTGTCAATTAACTTCTGGGCCACAACCTGACTGATGGCAGCCCATTCTTGCATAATCAATGCTTGGAGTTTGTCAGAATTTGTGGGTTTTTATTTGTCCACCCGCCTCTTGAGGATCGACCACAAGTTCTCAATGGGATTAAGGTCTGGGGAGTTTCCTGGCCATGGACCCAAAATGTATTGTTCCCCGAGCCACTTAGTTATCACTTTTGCCTTATGGCAAGGTGCTCCATCATGCTGGAAAAGGCATTGTTCGTCACCAAACTGTTATTGGATGGTTGGGAGAAGTTGCTCTCGGAGGATGTGTTGGTACCATTCTTTATTCATGGCTGTGTTCTTAGGCAAAATTGTGAGTGAGCCCACTCCCTTGGCTGAGAAGCAACCCTACTCAGGATGCTTTACTGTTGGCATGACACAGGACTGATGGTAGCGCTCACCTTGTCTTTTCCGGACAAGGTGTTTTCCGGATGCTCCAAACAATCGGACAGGGGATTCATCAGAGAAAATGATTTTACCCCAGTCCTCAGCAGTCCAATCCCTGTACCTTTTGCAGAATATCAGTCTGTCCCTAATGTTTTTCCTGGAGAGCAGTGGCTTCTTTACACCAGGCCATCCTCCAAAAGTCTTTGCCTCACTGTGCGTGCAGATGCACTCACATCTGCCTGCTGCCATTCCTGAGCAAGCTCTGCACTGGTGGTGCCCTGATCCCGCAGCTGAATCAACTTTAGGAGACGGTCCTGGCGCTTGCTGGACTTTCTTGGGTGCCCTGACGCCTTCTTCACAACAATTGAACCTCTCTCCTTGAAGTTCTTGATGATCCGATAAATGGTTGATTTAGGTGCAATCTTACTAGAAGCAATATCCTTGCCTGTGAAGTACTTTTTGTGCAAAGCAATGATGACGGCACGTGTTTCCTTGCAGGTAACCATGGTTAACAGAGGAAGAACAATGATTTCAAGCACCACCCTCCTTTTAAAGCTTCCAGTCTGTTATTCAAATCAAATCAAATCAAATTATATTGGCCACATGCGCCGAATACAACAGGTGCAGACATTACAGTGAAATGCTTACTTACAGCCCTTAACCAACAGTGCATTTATTTTAAATAAAAAAGTTAAAATAAAACAACAACAAAAAAGTGTTGAGAAAAAAAGAGCAGAAGTAAAATAAAATAACAGTAGGGAGGCTATATATACAGGGGGGGTACCGGTGCAGAGTCAATGTGCGGGGGCACCGGCTATATGTACATGTGGGTAGAGTTAAAGTGACTATGCATAAATAATTAACAGAGTAGCAGCAGCGTAAAAAGATGGGGTGGGGGGGCAGTGCAAATAGTCTGGGTAGCCATGATTAGCTGTTCAGGAGTCTTATGGCTTGGGGGTAGAATATGTTGAGAAGTCTTTTGGACCTAGACTTGGCACTCCGGTACCGCTTGCCATGCGGTAGCAGAGAGAACAGTCTATGACTAGGGTGGCTGGAGTCTTTGACAATTTTGAGGGCCTTCCTCTGACACCGCCTGGTATAGAGGTCCTGGATGGCAGGAAGCTTGGCCCCAGTGATGTACTGGGCCGTACGCACTACCCTCTGTAGTGCCTTGCGGTCGGAGGCCAAGCAGTTGCCATACCAGGCGGTGATGCAACCAGTCAGGATGCTCTCGATGGTGCAGCTGTATAATTTTTTGAGGATCTGAGGACCCATGCCGAATCTTTTCAGTCTCCTGAGGGGGAATAGGCTTTGTCGTGCCCTCTTCACGACTGTCTTGGTGTGTTTGGACCATGATAGTTCGTTGGTGATGTGGACACCAAGGAACTTGAAGCTCTCAACCTGTTCCACTACAGCCCCGTCGATGAGAATGGGGGCGTGCTCAGTCCCTTTTTTTTCCCTGTAGTCCACAATCATCTCCTTTGTCTTGGTCACGTTGAGGGAGAGGTTGTTATCCTGGCACCACACGGCCAGGTCTCTGACCTCCTCCCTATAGGCTGTCTCATCGTTGTCGGTGATCAGGCCTACCACTGTTGTGTCGTCGGCAAACTTAATGATGGTGTTGGAGTCGTGCCTGGCCATGCAGTCATGGGTGAACAGGGAGTACAGTAGGGGACTGATCACGCACCCCTGAGGGGCCCCCGTGTTGAGGATCAGTGTGGCAGATGTGTTGTTACCTACCCTTACCACCTGGGGGCGGCCCGTCAGGAAGTCCAGGATCCAGTTGCAGAGGGAGGTGTTTAGTCCCAGGATCCTTAGCTTAGTGATGAGCTTTGAGGGCACTATGGTGTTGACTGCTGAGCTGTAGTCAATGAATAGCATTCTCACGTAGGTGTTCCTCTTGTCCAGGTGGGAAAGGGCAGTGTGGAGTGCAATAGAGATTGCATCATCTGTGGATCTGTTGGGGCGGTATGCAAATTGGAGTGGGCCTAGGGTTTCTGGGATAATGGTGTTGATGTGAGCCATGACCAGCCTTTCAAAGCACTTCATGGCTACAGACGTCAGTGCTACGGGTCGGTAGTCATTTAGGCAGGTTACCTTAGTGTTCTTGGGCACAGGGACTATGGTGGTCTGCTTGAAACATGTTGGTATTACAGACTCAGTCAGGGACATGTTGAAAATGTCAGTGAAGACACTTGCCAGTTGGTCAGCACATGTTCGGAGTACACGTCCTGGTAATCCGTCTGGCCCTGCAGCCTTGTGAATGTTGACCTGCTTAAAAGTCTTACTCACATCGGCTACGGAGAGCGTGATCACATAGTCATCCGGAACAGCTGGTGCTCTTATGCATGCTTCAGTGTTGCTTGCCTCGAAGCGAGCATAGAAGTGGTTTAGCTCGTCTGGTATTCTAATCAGCATGATAGAGTGATCTCCAGCCTTGTCCTCGTCAACACTCTCACCTGTGTTAACGAGAGAATCACTGACATGATGGCAGCTGGTCCTTTTGTGGCAGGGCTGAAATGCAGTGGAAATGTTTTTGGGGGGATTAAGTTCATTTTCATGGCAAAGAGGGACTTTGCAGTTAATTGCAATTCATCTTGTAATACCTTGCTAAAACCAAGTATAGAGTTTATTTGTTATAATTCATTGGTATTAGATTTAAGAGGTGATCAAATAGCTCCTGATTTGTAATGTCGTTAATGCATTTCTTTTGAAGCAATGTTTTAAAAAATGTACAAGTGAATAGGTTAGTTTACTTTTAAGTTTCTCGTTAAAGTTTTGACCAATGAGGTAACTTGTTAAGTTGTGGCCAATGGGAGAGTGGACTGGTTGCTGGGAAAGAAAGAGAGGGAAAGGTTGAAAGAGGGGAGAGGAGAGACGTTAGTGGGGTTGGTGAAGGAAAAACGACCAAAGGAAACGATAAAGAGAGAACAAAACCATACCTACAGAGTTTTTTTTAAAGGGAAATCCTGATTTTATTTCTATAAGAGAGTGTTATTATTTCGTTAAGAAAGACCTAGTGGAGACTGAAGCTGCCGTCGCATTGTGGAGACATTCGACATCCTAGAGGTTAGCCTAGCATCGTGGAAGACTTGGAGAGAATTGCTTGTGATGATCAACGAGTTCGAGTTTCCAACAGATGTCTGTTGCTGCTACGGAGTACTGGCTGCATTGATAGCTGTGTTCGCTGTGGATCTTGTGAGGACACCTGCACGGAACTGCTATACTTTGCTGAGGTATTATCTACAAGTAGTGAGTAACTACAAATGTGGGGTGGACTTCGGGACATTATGTATGTCGTCATTTTT